GGACACTAATATATTTTGACATCAAGGTACAAAATTGAATTATATAGCTTTTATTTAATCTCTGTGCACGTTTCTCCCTGTGTGCTAGCTGACTGTTTTCATGTTACTAGTTGGCCTTGTAAAATACCAGGTGGGAGAAGATCCAGGAGTGTAAAATGTCTTAGCACCAGCCAAGTGAGACAGCTTCCCCCCAGAGGAAGTCCAGTGTCCTGTCAGCGGTTTCTCTGTGTACTCTACACTTTTTCACTATCTGGCAGCAGCAGATGCTTTTGTTTGTTAGACAGAACCTCACCTAGGAAAATTTTCAGATGTTATTATAGTGGCAATGGTGTCTATTGAGCACTGACAATGTGCCAGGCAATTTTCTAAGCACATCACGTGTATTGACTCATTATCATTCTCATAATATGCCTTTGGGATGGATGCTGGTCTTATCTCCACTTTACCAATGAGGAAACTGAAGCACATAGTTTCTTTATTTTTATTTTATATTTTTTAATTTTAAAGACGTGGGGTACAATTCAGGGTTTGGTATACAAATGTTCATTATGTAGGTACCCTTGTTGACGAGGTGTGCCCCTTCCCCTTCCCCCTCCACTACTGCCAATCCCAGAGAGTTTCTTTGTTGACCAGCCACAGGAATAACTGTACTTTAAATTCTGTCAATCTAACATGGAGCCTGAGCTCTTCACCTTTCTGCCGTGCTGCTTCACTACTGTTTACACAGGGTTAAGAAAGAGTCCAGAAGGTTTTCCCTGTGCATCCTGTGATCTAGTGCCCTAAATTTGCTGATGGGCCTCAACTAGGACAACGTTTGATAGGAGACAAAGCACCAGATACTCTGGTCAGAAGACTGTGGTTAAGCAAGCTGCTACTGGTGAGATAGAGGGAAGTGTTGAAGGTTGTTGGGACAAGATAGGAGCAAGAGCAACAGAGGGGACAGGTAGGAAGTTGGGTGGGGGAGAGTAAGTGGTGGTTATAGGAATTTTTGTTTTCCTCTGTCTTGCTCAGCTGATGATTGTGGAGATGAACTGAGAATGTGTGAATTAATTTGGGATCTGTTAAGTTCTAATCAAGTGAAGATTGGTGGGAGGCCAGTGGTCCTGGAGAAAATAGCATGTGGACGAGAATCAGGGCGTAGATGGAAGCCCATGAGATAGATGTGTGTGGACAGGGAACAGGCACTGCTGGATTTGGAGAAAGATGTTACACATTGGAGACCCCATGGTCGGGGAACTCCATGAAGTAGGGGTGGAAGGACTAGTCCACAGTCATTCTTCCAATCTTATTTCTGTTTGTCAACTGCCACCTATAGGGAGGTCTTAGTCCTGATATCTCCAGTCCAGTGGAGAAGACTAGAACCCACTGCCGTTAGATCAACTGTTATCTCAAAAATAGTTCAGGTGGAGCTTATTCAATCCCTGTGCCCCATCCCTTCTCCCTTTACAGAGTCTGATGGATCACCACATTCTGTGGTTCCAGCTTCCCCCTTATCTGCTATATGAGCAGGAAAATATTTGCTACTTACAATCTTTGCAGATCATTTAAGTGAACTGGGAAATAAAATTATCAGACTTTTTAAATTTGGGAATAAGGATTTGGCATGAACATTGTGTGATCACTCTGTTAATCACTCAGATTCTTTCCTTCCTACTGATGTATAATACCTAATACTCTTTGCTATAGTCTTTGTTTTTACTCTTATTCTGAGTTATTTGTTTACATATTGACATGCTTTTAAAATAACACCATTATTTCCTTTTTTTTTTTTTAATTCAGAGTCTCACTCTGTCACCCAGACTGGAGTGCAGTGTCTGCTCCCGGCCACCACAACCTCGAACTGCTGGGCTTCGGCGATCCTTCCGCCTCAGCCTTCCGAGTAGCTGGAACTACAGGCGCGCGCTACCACACCTAGCTAATTTTCTTTTGATTTATTGTAGAAATGAGGTCTTGCCAAGTTGCCCAGGCGGGTCTTGAACCCGTGGGGCTCAGGCAACCCACTCACCTCAGTCTCCCAAAGGCGCAGGATTACAGGTTGAGCCACTGAGCCTGGCTTCATTATTTCTTTTAAAAACATGATTTACATTGATGATACTTAACACAAAATAATCTTCAAATTCTGCCACATAGAAATAACTACTTGGAACAGCTTGTTGCACATTTCTCCAGATACTTCTCTTGCATATACAAGCTCTTTAATTCCTCAGCTTGCTTGAAAGAGCTTGTGCCATCTATAAGTTTCTAAGACTTTTTCTCATTTAACAATATGCTGGGCTGAGTGCGGTGACTCAAGCCTGTAATCCCAGCACTTTGGGAGGCTGAGGCGAGAGGATTGCCTGAGACCGCAGGTTTGAGACCAACCCGGGCAACATGGTGAGACCTCATCTCTACAGTAAGTAAAAAAATTAGCCGTGTGTGGTAGTGTATGCCTGTAGTTCCAGCTATTTGGAAGGCTGAGGTGGAAGGATCCCTGGAACCTAGTAGGTCGACACTGGGGTGGCTGTGAACCTGCCACTGCACTCCAGCCTGGGCAATGGAGTGGGACTCCAACTCAAAAAAATCCCCCCAAAAAACCAATATACTGTAGCCAAACTTCCTTTTAAATAGAGACCTACACACTCATTTTTAATATCTGTCCAGTGTTATCTTTTTTACTTAACCATCCCCCTGCTGATTGTTTATTGGTAAAGTCTGAGCACCTCATAGAGATTGCCTGACTTGGTTTACTGGCAAATCCATGGGACTCTTGGTATTTACCTGTGGGCTAGAGAGTCTGAATTCCTCAGAAGAGCATAGAAAGAACACAAAACGGATGTGTGAAGGGCCCATGGCTCTACTTTCAGCTCTGCCACTTAATAGCTCTGTGACCTTTGAATCACGTCACCTTTCTGTACTTCAGTTTACTTATCTGTAATGATGTTATGGGTATGTATGGTATTAGGATCTGTTCTACTAACTTAAGGTCTGTATCTCCAAGTATTGGGCTGTCAAACTGTATCTCCCATTGCAACTTAAACACTCATGTCAGCTATATCTGTCAATGCCTCTTTGATGTCCAGCACAATGCTCATACAAAGCAGATACCCGACAAACACTCTGAGTGATGGACCAATACAGCTGTTGAGTCTGTCTTTTCAATTTCCCCCCAGAAATATTTATTCATCTCTAAGGTGTTATATTGGCTAGGCTTTACCTCAGTGAACCTCAGATATTTTTACCTGTCTACCATCTCTCTTTAGAATGTGTACACTTATATCTACACTTTAAAATAGTCATGGTTTAAATGTGTGTGTGTGTGTGTGTGTGTGTGTGTGTGTGTGAGAGAGAGAGAGAGAGAGAGAGAGAGAGAACTATGTATGAGTGTACATTTATGTATCTATAGTTGGATATGGATATGTTATTTTAGGTGAGTAGAGTGTGAGTCCATGTGGAGGGAGTTACTATATTTGCCCTAAAACGAGGTTGTAGACAAGAAAATGAGCTTAAATTACTTTTCACTCTCTCTTTCAGAGTTGCAATGAAATTGAATGTGTATGTATGACTATGTCTCTGTGTATGTTTGAGGAAGAGGTAGAGAGTGGTGTCCTGAATATTCTTTTAAAAGTAACCCCCTTTCCTTTCATCCATTCTTTTCTTTCTTCCTTTTCTTTCTTTCTTCTTTTCCTTTTCTCCCTCCCTCCCTTCCCCCTCCCTCTCCTCCTCTCTCTTTCCCACCCTCTGCCCTACCTTCCTTTTCTTTCTTTCTTTTCTTTTGTCTTTTTCCTTCCTTTCTTTCTTTTTCTTTCTTTACTTCTGTCCCAGAAATGAATTGACAAGTAATGCTATTCTTTCTACTTTAGTCACTGGTGATTTTTATCATCATTTGTTATAAAAATTGAGAAGCAAGCTTTTATTTTAGAAAATTATCTCCACCAATGAAATTCAAGTACAAGGTAGTATTTAAAGACAAGTAGAGATTGTGTTATACTAATATATTGAAGAAATGTATTGATCCATAGTGATGGTGATAAAAACTAAATGACTTTACGCAACTAATGCCCAAGATTAAACTACTTTGAAACTATTACTTAAGAAAATCCAAGGAATCAAATTCTAGACATTCTGAGGAAAACAGAATGTTTCAGAAGGTCTGATATTCTACCCTTTAATTGATTAACATGTCCCAAGATTAAACTACTTTGAAACTATTACTTAAGAAAATCCAGATTAAACTACTTTGAAACTATTACTTAAGAAAATCCAAGGAATCAAATTCTAGACATTCTGAGGAAAACAGAATGTTTCAGAAGGTCTGATATTCTACCCTTTAATTGATTAACATGTGTCCTAAACGTGTATCAACTGAATTCTTTCAAAATGAGTTACATACTTTATTGTCCTCCTAAAGGGAATACATTTTATATTCTTAAAACATTTTATTCATTTTTGAGTGCTTAGAGGCACCATTATAGGTAGCATTTATTGTCATGTGCTTTGACTGAGAGGTACTCTCAGAGACTGTTGAGGTGTGTGGAGCTACTACAATCTTAGTCCTCTGCTTTCTGAGTTCTTAGTTGGCTTTTTTATATCATTTTCCATCTCTCTGAAGGTCAGGCTGCCCGTGACCTTGTTAGATTGTTATGGGCACATTAGCCTATGGGTCTTACGGCTCCACTCTACTCTCACTATTTCTGATTGGTTGCATCTCATCAATTATGTGACTACATACATGATTTTATTAATTTTTTTGATAAATTAATAGCAAATAAATGATGTAAAGGTGGTCTTCAAAGGTACTTTCTGCGTATTTTCGTGTTCTTACCTATCTTCCAGAAACTTTAGGTTTCTGGAGAAGTGCTCTCCAAATAACTGGTATTCTGGTAAAGAATTCATCATTTTGGTTTAACTGTGAACCTTTTCTTCTAAACACGAAGAGATGCTATTGCCCCAGTCCTTCCAGCTGCATGATTGCCAATTCTCCTTTCTCGTTTGTAACTGACCATTTGGTTCTTGTTTTGCAGTCCTCAGTCCGTCCCAGATCGCCTGAGAATCCGAGTGAACAAAATCAGTTTACAAGACTATGAAGGATTCCACTATGACAAAGAGAAGCTCCGAGAAGCTTGTAAGTTGGAAGGTCCTAATTGATTTCATATAGTCACCTTGTCTCCAGTCTCTTGATCCTCCTTGGTTTCGTGGGTAGAGTCATCCATCTTGGTGGCTGAAAATTGTGTTTAGAGAAGTGAATGGAAGCACAGTAACACGAGAGCTCCATGTGATAGTACATGGGCTAACTGAAGAGGAACTTGACAAGCAATGCAGCAGAGGGAAATCATCCTGCTATGGATGCCAAGGCAGGCTCTCTTGGCTTATTCATCACTTTAGTCTCAGGTTTGCCCAACATGAGAAAAATGAAGCATTGGTGATACCCAAGTTATAATAACATCCAGAAATCCCTGAGATAAGATGAGTTACTTCCTGGTGCCCATATCACCACATGTTCTTATTCTTCATGGAGGTATGACAGAGGTACACATAGCACTTCTAGATATTATGCCATTATATTATGTCAGAGAAAGGCCCACAGGATGTGCAGTGTTGTGAGGATAAAGAGATTCATTGATGAGGTGCCACTGTTTCTAAAATCTGAAGTTGAATCAACCTATCTATTAATTCACATTGTTTATATTTTCTGTGTGCTTCTTTGAATACATAGTTCATTGTTAGGTTACCTCATGAGTCAATCAGTGTTTTGGGGACATTTTTGAAATTCTGGTCACTCTTTTAGGTCCCTGTTTGTCTGTCTGATCTATCTACCTATCTATCTATCTATCTATCTATCTATCTATCTATCTTTATCTAGATATATGAGGTAATGGGGCACAGTAGACCAGAAGTTAAAACGGTAGGTGTATTAGATATTAGGGTTCTGGGTAACTTCATAATTGTGGGGGCCAACAGTCAAGTCCAAAAAAGTCAGAGAAGATAGGGAAGACCAATGTCCAAGGAAACAGGCAAAGATGCTGACAGAATCCAGTCCTCTTTTGATGGGCAGCATGGCTGTTTCCAGGTTTTTGCTATTGTGAACAACGCTGCGATGAACATGCATGTGCAGGTATCCTTTTTATAGAGTGATTTGTGTTCTTCAGGATATATTCCCAGTAGGGGGATTGCAGGGTCAGATGGGAGGTTGGTATTTAGAGCTTTTAGGAATCGCCATACTGCTTTCCACAGAGGTTGCACTAGTTTACACTCCCACCAACAGTGTAGAAGTGTTCCCTTTTCACCACACCCTCTCCAGCAGCTGTTATTTTTTGACTTGTTTATAATTGCCATTCTGACTGGGGTTAGGTGGTATCTCAGTGTGGTTTTGATTTGCATCTCCCTGATGATTAGTGAGGTTGAACATTTCTTCATGAGTTTGTTGGTTGCTCGGATGTCTTCCTTTGTGAAGTGTCTGTTCATATCTTTTGCCCATTTTATAATGGGGTTGTTTGTTTTTTTCTTTTCAGCATGTTTGAGTTCCTTGTAGATCCAGGATGTTAAGCCTTTGTCGGATCTGGAGTTGGCAAATACTTTTTCCCAGTCTGTAGGCTGTCTCCCTGCTCTCTTGATGGTTTCTTTGGCTTTGCAGAAGCTTGTCAGTTTAATAAGGTCCCACTTGTCTATTTTCTCTCTTATGAGCTGTGGGTTTTGGGTTTTGTTCAGGAATTGGATGCCAGTTCCGATTTCCATGAGGGTATTTCCTTCATTTTCTAAGGTTCTTATGGTTTGAGGTTTTACATTTAGGTCTCTGATCCGTTTGGAATTAACCTTTGTGCATGGGGATAGATAGGGGTCCTGTTTCAATCTTCCCAGCACCATTTACTGAATAGGTTCTCCTCTCCCCAGTTGTAGGTGGTGGAGGCTTTGTCAAAGATGAGTTGGTTGAGAAATTGAGGTTTGCTTCTGGAATCTCAATTCTATTCCATTGATCTATATGCCTGTTCCTATACCAATACCAAGCTGTTTTGATGATTGTAGCTTTACAGTAAAGTTTGAAGTCTGATAATGTGATACCACCTGCTTTGTTTTGTTTGCCTGGAGATAGCCATGCTGCCCGTCAAAAGAGGACTGGATTAAAAAAATGTGGTACATATACACGATGGAATACTACACAGCCATAAAAAAGAACAAAATCATGAATTTCGCAGCAACCTGGATGGAACTAGAGTCTATAATACTGAGTGACCTCTCACAGAAACAAAGATCCAAATATCACATGTTCTCACTCATATAATGGACCTTAAACATCCAATGCAATACTATACGAAAATGACTGACCGTACTGGGAAACTATGGTGGGGGGAGGGAGATGGGATTAACAGTAGCAAATATCTGTCTGGGAACGGGGAAACACCCCATATCAACAGGGTGCCTGAATGAAACGCAATTGTATACCTAACCCTTAACTGTACCCCACAACTTCATAATAAAATTAAAAAAAAAAAAAGATGCGGACAGAAAGAAAGGAGTCTTTGTATAGAACCAAAGAGTTATGAACCCAATCCTGAAATGGTCTCCAAGTGTGGACCAGCCTAGAGTGGTAGAAGAGGCAGATAGTCAAACGTGCAGGATTGGAGTAGGAAAGCATTCCTGGGTGCTCCTTCTGAGCTCTGAATTCTGAGACTGTGATCTGGAGTGAGATTTAGAGGATGAAAATCCTGAAATCCAAGGACAGTCCCAGGGTGGGCGCAGGGACTTCTAGGATTGGGAGTTGGCAGTGAGCAAGGATTCATTTCCCTGGTAGCCCAATCACTGAACCTAACAGAGAATTCTATGTGAACTAATTCCCTCAGCTGCTTCAGCTCCCTAAATCTGGGTGTTGTTTTGCTTAGACACAATACCTTTAATTTCCCCAGCCTTCTCACTTCCCTCCTTCACTCTCCTTTTCCTTGGTAAGAAAGTCTGAGCTGGAGAGGGGGGGCAATTTCCAAAAACTTTGCATTTCTTCCTTCCATAAACAGCATGCTGCCTTTTCTAAAATAAATAAGTGGCAGACTAGCATAAATCTAATTTAACCCACAAAATGACGGACATACATATTTGCAATGGGAAGTGTAGCTACAATGTAAATCAAATTGACTTCCAGAGTCTACTAATTATAAAAAACAGTGCTTCATGCTTTTTATTGTTGTAAACTTCTGAACAAATAGCTTACAGTTCTTAAAAATAAAAAAGATAGCAGATCTCAAATAGTATTTTGCAGGTTACCTTCAGCTCTGAAGAAAGGCAGTTTTAGAGTGGGGATACATTTGAAATTTTTGACTGAAATACAATTTGAGGCTTATCTGTGACTTTCAATTATCTGTTCTATCTTTTCTGTGGCATTATCTGTCCACTATTGCCAGAGGTAATTGTGATTTGAGTTTTTACAAGAAGATGACATTTTCTGGCAAGTACTTTACTCATCATATCTTATGTGATAAAACTTCTATGTGAAGAAACTTCTTAAGTCAAATTGGGAGAAGTAACTTGGCATAAATGTAAGTCCAATAAATTCAGTAATGTCTTTGGGACCCAGAAGAGCAAAGAAACTTTCAAAAAGGGGATAAAGGAGTTATTACAAAGACTTAAAGTCCCTTCCAAATATTTGGGTTTGAAGAAAACAATATATTAATTGGAAGTAAAAGTGACTGACTGAATCGTTCTGTTTTTAATATATGGTAACGGTGCTTTCAACTTGTGGTTTTCCAGTAAAATTATTCCTTTGAGGTTCTGAAGTCACTCTAATCCATCCTTGCTCTTTTGTGTGGCTCTAACTTACAACTGACAGCAGATCATGGGAAGACTGACAGAGCTCAAACTGAGCAAAAAGGCAAAAACTAGTTCAGGTCCATATGTGATGCACACAACAAAACAGATAGGATATTTCAGGAGCATCAGCGAAATGAAATGAAATCTAGATAAAAGGGACTCTAAAAATGTACTCTGACCTATATCCCCAAAGAGCAAAGGGAGTAAATCCTCTAAGGTCATTCATTTATTGCCAACAGTCAAACTCTGAAACTAGTGTACATGTGTTACTGGGTTTGAAAAATTAGTTCCCTTTCTTGAGGATACACTAAGTGATTTATTCGGGTAGCATGTAGTTGTTTGCCTTCACTGTTTTTTTTTTTTTTTGAGTTGGAGTCTCACTCTGTCGCCCAGACTGGAGTGTAGTGGCCGCTCCCGGCCATCCATCGCAGCCTCGACCTGCTGGGCTCCGGCGATCCTTCCGCCTCAGCCATCCGAGTAGCCAGAACTACAGGCAGGCGCTACGAAGCCCAGCTGATTTTTTGATTTATTGTAGAGATGAGGTCTCGCTGCCCAGGCGGGTCTCGAACCCGCGGGCTCAGGCAATCCACTCACCTCAGCCTCCCAAAGGCGCGGGATTACAGGCTGAGCCACCGAGCCCGGCTTGCCTTCACTGTTTAGTGATATCTTGCTCATGTGTCTGGATCACTGCTCATATTAGATTACAAACTCGGATGTTTGTTGTCTAAACAAAGCTCTACTTCTGTCTGTCATACAGGGCTCACTGATCAGACAGGTTGGCAGCCCTTTGAATTGCTTTGCTTATGTATGTATGCATTTATTTATTTGTTTGTTTGTTTTTGAGTTGGAGTCTCAATCTGTTACCCAGGCTGGTGTGCAGTGGCATACTTATGGCCACCACAGCCTCTGCCTGCTGGGCTCAGGTGATCCTTCCACCTCGGCCTTCCAAGTAGCTGGAACTACATGCACATGCCACCACGTTCAGCTAATTTTTTGATTTTTTGTAGAGATAAGGTCTCGCTAATTTGTCCATGTTGGTCTTGAACCCTTGGGCTCAGGCAATTCTCTAGCCTCGGCCTACCGAAGTGCTGGGATTACAGACTTGAGCCACTACGCCCAGCCACTTTGCTAATTTTATCATAGGTAAAGATGACTATGCACTTTCAGTATTTCCTATTCTCTTCCATTTAGCCCCATCTCACCTAGGTGCAATCACCCTAAGATTATAGTGTGGAAAAAGTCTTTGCCAGTCCTTCCCTCAGTTCTTGTTGGTAAATTTCAGACTTACTTAACCATTTAGAGTCTTCCTCACTTGATATGGTTTATAAG